CAGACACACTCAGAGTCCAGAGCTTCAATCAAATGGAATTGGAATAGCAGATGCTCCCTAGAGTCCTGTACATAACCTGCAATACAGGAAGATGAGCTAGAATTAACTGTATTATGATGATCAAGAACAGTGCTTCTGTTCTACCTCCTAGGTCACTGTGCAGTGCCTCGGACCGTAAAAGCTTCCAAGTGGCCATCCAAGGTATAATTGCTCTCTGTTTGACTGGAGCAACAGAAGAAGGGGAGTCAGGAACAGGAAGAAGAAATGGAACCTGTGGTTAATTGCCTCCATGAACAACCACCTCTTTTGATATGAGAGACCAGAAGAATTGGATGGTGCCTTGGATACCATTACTGAATGTTTTGAGAAAAGGGAGAAAATGCAAAAGAGAATTTCAAATTCCCATGGAATCCAAACTTTCTGGAGCTATGAAGGCTGAATGAACCCATGAAATTACTGTTCTGAGATAATCTTTAAACCTTAAGCCAAAAATATTCCCTAAAGTTTTCTTAAAGCTAAACAATAATTTTTAGAAATTTTAGTACCTTGTTAGATATATCATTGCCAAAAATTATTTCCTAAGCAAGCTATACATGCAACGCAATCCTGATCCAGATTCCATCAACATTCTTTAAAGACGTGGAAAAACCAATCACTAATTTTCTATGAAAAGGAAAGAGACCTCGGATAAGCAAAGCACTAGTGAAAAAGAACAACAAAGTAGGAGGTTTCACACTCCCAGATCTCAAAACCACAGCAGTCAAAACAGCCTGGTATTGGTACAACAAAAGACATAGAGACCAGTAAAACAGAACTGAGAACCCAGAAATAGATCCATCTACCTGTGGTCAGCTGATCTTTGACAAAGGGCTGAAATCCATTCAATGGGGAAGAGATAGTCTCTTTAACAAATGATGCTGGCAAAACTGGATATCCATTTACAGAAAAATGAAACAAGATCCAAACCTCACACCATACACAAAAACTAACTCCAGATGGATCAAAGACTTAAATGTGAAACCTAAAACTCTAATATTGATCAAATAAAAAATAGGGGCCAACTTAGGGACCCTAATTTATGGCATAAATAAGACTACCAAGCATAACCCAAATGCACAAACAGCAGAAAATAAATTAGATGATTGGGACCTTCTAAAAATTAAATTATTACGTACATCAAAAGACTTCTCCAAAAGAGTAAAAAGAGAACCTACAGATTGGGAAAAATCATTCAGCAATGACATATTTGGCAAAGGATTTATCTCTAAAATTTATAGAAAACATCAATATCTCAACATTAAAAAGACAAACAAACCAATTAAAAAATGAGCAGACATGAACAGTCACTTCACCAAAAAAGATATTCAGGAAGTCAATAAATCCATGAAAAAATGTTCACTATCATTAGCCATTAGAGAGATGCAAATCAAAACAATGAGATACCATCTCACCCCAGCAATAATAGCAAACTTCAACAAGACAGAAAATAACAAATGCTGGTGAGGATGTGGAGACATTGTGACTCTCACACACTGCTGGTAGGACTGCAAAATGATACAACCACTGTGGAAATTGAATGGTATGGTGATTTCTTCCTTTAAAAGTTGGAAGCAGAAATACCATTTGATCCAGCAATCTCATTACCAGGTATATATTCTAAAGACACGAGCACCAGGACACAAATAGATCGATGCACACCCATGTTCATCACAGCACTATTCACAATAGCAGAGAGATGGAAACAACTGCCCAACAACAGAGGAATGGATAAACAAACAGTGGTACATATACATAATGGAATACTATGCAACACTGAAGAATAATGTAGAATCTGCAAAAGAATTTACAAAGCACCTTAACATGGATGAACCTGATGGACATTATGCTGAGATAAGTAAGTCAGTCACAGAAGGACAGGTATTGCATGAGTCCACTATTGTAAAAAGTCAAGGACAGTTTTACACACGGAAGGAAACTCTCTTTGGTGGGTATCAGGGACAGGAAACAAGGGAGGGAAAACTGCTAGACGGATAAGGGACAAGTACTGATTTGGGTGAAGGGACAGGCAATATACCAAAGCTAGTGATCAGCACAATAACACTGAGGAAAAGGAAAATGCAAAGAGGTGCCCAAGAGGAACAAACAACAAAGGTAAATACTTTTACATACATAATTCTACATTATCAGTCATAACAAACATTAATCCATGGGTGGATAGGTAGACAGGCAAAATGATCAAATGAGTAGGCATCAAAATGCCTATGAATAGGCAAAAGGGGATACTCCCATGACCATATATAAGGTTGGCAGACAGTACTTCTACATACATATCTGTACGTGCTATAAGAATATCCATATATATAATAGAACTAACAGGGGGCAAAATTATGCTAACTTCTTAGCCACAGCCAAACACGTTGAGGGAGTGAGTCACTAGGCCCAAGGGCTTGGGACCATGGTCACAAGAGAAGTAAACTGGCATAACATACTACACAAAAACACTGTTCTATCTCCTACTTTGGTGAGTACCAATTGGGATATTAAAACCTGGAGAACAGTCATCTAAGATCCAACTATGGGTCTCTCTTCGTCCAGAGCAAAGAAGAGTGAAGAGAATCAAAGACTCACAGAAACAATTAATCCAAGGGACTAGTGGACCATGTAAACCTTGGCCTACATGGCCGAGACCAGAAGAACTAGATGGTGCCCAGCGACCACTGCCAACCACTCAAAAAGGGATCAAAATGGAAGATCCTGGATAGAGTGGGAGAAAAATGTGGAAAAAAAACTCAAAATCATAAAAAAAAAAAAAAACAGGATTACTGGTGTGACAGAGACTGGTGAAACCTCCAAGACTATGGCCTCTAGTTATCCTTTGGGCCTGGAATTTGACTCACTCCCATGACTTCCAACCACACAACAGTCCAGCCTACAAGGTGAACAATTACACCAGGTAGGTACACACCTTAGAACAAGCAACCATAGGAGATCAGAAGGGCAGCTTCTGCACAGGCAGACAGCTCAGAGGGCAGGAATGCAGAGAAAAGAAGGACACAGGACAAAGGTAACCACAGGGAGGAAGTGGGAAGAGAGCTGTTACATTGTGGGGACTGTAATCAATGTTGTGAAACAAAATGTGTATGACCTGTTAAGTGGAAAACGGATTTGCTCTGTACACTTTCACCGAAATCACAACAAAAGAGAAAAACTGTTGAACTGGTGTTGTTCTCCTGTGTATATTCTCAACAACAACAAGTAAATAAATTATTTAAAAAGAAAAAAAGAAGACGACTTGGTACAATACGTACCACCCACTGTCATGGATCGGGTCAAAGAAGGCTGCAATAAAGCTTCTTCATCACTGAGTTGTTTTCTGAGGTCTTCTACAGATTCCAGATGGAGCTGGAGAAATTCTGCTGTTGCTGCCGACGCTTCTTCTTTCACTGGGTCTATCATTCTCTTCAGAAGTCCTAGGTCATCCTTGCGGACTTTCAAACAAAGCTTCTCCATTTCTCGGATATTGGAGCGGAGTTGCTATAAAAGGGAAAAAAAAAATCATTATTGCACCATCTATTAGTATAAAACCAAAAAACACCAAACTCACTCCTGTCGAGTCAGATCCGACTCACAGCGACCCCCCTTGGGTTTCTGAGGTAGTATCACTATGGAAGTAGACTGCCCAACCTTCCTTCTGAGGAGCGGCTGGCAGGTTTGAACCTTCAGCCTTCTGGTTAGCAGTCAAGTGCCTTAGGCACTACACCACCAGAGCTCCTTCTTAGTATAAAGTCTCTTTATATTCAGAGGTAATTTGTGATAATGGTTGTGAACAGAAATGCTTACGAGCGTTTGCCACAATAGAAGGCACTATATGTTTCCTATTTTCCTGTTTCTGTCCAAATCAAGATTCTTAAGAACCCACATCCTTATACCTTGAATTTACTTAGCATTTTTCCTTCATTAAATGTGACTGTTATGAAGGTAACAAATACTCTCCATAATAAATCAAGTATTACAGAAAAATATAACAAAATCTTACGATTTCCCCACTTCCCCAATCCCATCTCCTTCTTAGACCAATGGTGTCATGCATTTCTCATTACTCATGCAAAATTTAACACATACAGACTTCCCTTCTGCAAAGAATGGAGTACGCTACTTAAAATAATCTATACTCTGTCACCCTGCATCCCGATTTAATAGTATCAGCACAGGCATCTGGGGTAGTGGGACTGTGTCAACGTGGCCGGGCCACGACTGAACGGTTTAAACAGTTGTGATGTGATTATTCCCATGATGAGGGCAGATGTATACGTTCTGAGCAGCCAATCTACTGAAAAGGAGCTTTCCTCGGGTGTGGCCTGCTTCCACTATATATAAGGAGATCCTGGGAAAAAGACAGACTCTTCTGTGGATCTGGATCCTGTTGTGCCGCCTACAACTGTCCGTGAGTGAACAACCCACCACTCGGCCTGGTGATCTTGGATTTGCCATCCATCGGAGTCAACAGCTGGTATACTGCCTGCCACCCTTGAGCACATCAGCCCCTGCAGCTACGTGAGTCAGGAAAAGCCTCCAACTTGACGTTTGACCCAGGAACTTGGGACTTGCCAGCTTCCATAAGTGTGTGAGGCATTTTCCTAAGATAAATTTCTCTCTCTTTGTATACATAAGCTTTACTGGTCTTGCTTCTCTAGAGAACCCAGCCTAACACAGCATCCCACCAAATCAACAGTTGCATCATATTCCAGTATGGATACAGGATCATTTATTCAGTAATTCCTCCAGTGATCAACATTCATGTTGTTTCCAATTTTAAATTATGACAAATTATGAAATTACTATTTTGTATAGGAATTAATCCCAGGAGTGGGAATGGCTCAAAGACACATGTATTTTTTACTGCAATAGCTATAGTATCAGGGTTTTTTCCCCCAAGAAAGGCTGTAACATTCACACACCCCCAGTGTCTGAAAAGCCACCCCCTCCCCACTGCCAGGCCTACACATTACCTTCCCCTTGCTATCCTCTGCACTTTCCAAGCAGTGAGACTCTTAGCAAATGCCTTTTCTTACTTAAAGAAATACTTATTGGCATAATGTTAATTATTCCTTTCATTTGTTAACATCGTGAATTATGTACAGATTTCATGATATTGAGACACCCTTATATTCCTGGTATAACTCTCACTTATCAATATTATAATATTTTTAAAAACACACTGCTGGATGTGTTTTGCTAGTATCTGATTTACAATATTAGCACGCGTATATGTGTGTGTATCTATACCATCTTTACCAGGTTGTACTGGCTTTATTACATAAACCGGGGAGCTTCTCATCTTTTTCAGTGGTCGATAATTTGAAAAACATCGTAACCAACTATTCTTTGAAGATTAAATAGAACTAATTTGCAAAAGTGATCTGAGCCTGATTTCTCTTTAATTATAGAGCTCTACTTACATAGTATGTTAAATTATTTTCTCCTAAAATGTTCTCAGAGATATCAATGCAAAAACCCAGAGAGGTGAGTTGTAAACTCGGGTCACAGCTGCTTTGGAAGTGTTTGAAAGCATGTGTGTTTGACAGCCTCACAACGCTCAGGGTGGGAAGTGGATGCCAGGGCTAAGCAAGAGGACCATGGTGCTTTGGGCTGGGATCTTAAAGGCCTGCACCCTAGGGAAACAGGTGACCCTGAAATAACCTGTCCTTGCATGAACTGGCTTGGCCTCCAGTCTTTTTGGTAGCTCATAAAAATTTCAAGTCCTAAAACTGTATAAAGACAAATGTGGAAAGCAAGTGTACCCGGGGTTTAAAAAAAGCAAACAAAAATCATCTCTGAAGGAAGATAACATCATTCCTAGCTGCAAATAACTTCTATGAATAATTTTTCAAATGTAATGTCCAGCCCCCATCAAAGAGAATCAAGCACATGAAGAAAGAAACAACATGAAGCAGGAACAGCAAAGGCAGCACACAACAGGACATATGTAAAGGGGCACTTGGTACAGAAGCTGAAAATACAGTCTATAAAACCCCAAGAGAAAGAGAGCACGCCATCTGGACCATAACGGTTACAAAAAGGTAACGGAAATTGTGCCACTTCAGGGAAATGGATTTTAGCAAGTTTAGAGAATAGAGCTGTAGGATGCCATAGCAGAAATCATATCGTGATAGAAAGAACTTCTTAAAAGAGATGTAGTTTCTAAAAAGTGAAATTCTGACAATATAAAAACAAGTTAGTCTGATAAGAAAGAAGAAGGAAGAGGCACCTAAAAAGCCCGCCCCCCACCCCAGTTGTGGAAGGTGTGTGATGCGAAGCGCAGAATGTGAAGAGACTCTTAAAAGAAAAAAAAGATGCAAAGGAAGGCATGTGGCGAGGGATGAACCCTCGATAGTGCTGTGAAACAAGGAGAATCCTGTAAGAAAAGTAAGGATCCAGAATGCGCGGAGGCTGGTGAAAATGTTAACAACAATAAAAAAGATTTTTAAAAAACACATGTGGAGCAAAAAGAACAAGAAAGAAGGTGCAGGCCTCCTGCTTGGGGCAGATGGCATGATGCTAACAGATGGCGCAGAGAACACACAGCGACTTAGCTCCTATTCTGATTCTGTACAAATATTAAGGAGAAATATTAAAAATAGAAAGGGGCATAAGAAACATCCTCAAAGGAGAGCTGAAACATATCTCACTGTAAGGTTCTAGATAGATGCTTCAGGAAGGAGGTGCAATTTGAGCTGTGCCTGAAAGATAAGGGGCAAACGGAGTATCTGAAATAGAATTGCTGTTGTTGTTTTGCGCTGTTGACTCGGATCCGACTCATAGCGACCCCTCCTTGGGATTCCCAGGCAGTATCTCTACAGAAGTGACTGCCCAACCTTCCTTCTGAGGAGTGGCTGATGGGTTTGAACCGCCAGCCTTCTGGTTAGCAGTCAAGTGCCGTAGGCACTATGCTACCTGGGAAAAATCTGAGAGGCAGGGCACAAAGCTTCCAAATACATTTCATCAACTGTAGGACCTGGTATTTTTTCCACATTTTAACATCTCTGAAATTGAGATGCATCTCAAAATAGCTGATAAGAAAACACTGCGTCACAGATAATTGGCCGCAATTTTTCCTTGTTGTTGTTGTTGTTATGTGCCGTGGAGTGGGCTCCGACTCACAGCGACCCCTCCTTGGGTTTCAGAGGCAGTATCACTACGGAAGTAGATTGCCCAACCTTCCTTCCGAGAGTGGCTAGTGGGTTTGAACGCCAGCCTTCTGGTTAGCAGTCAAGTGCCTTAGGCACTACGCTTTGTAGGGGAACACAAAATAATGGCATGGGTTACAACTGATGGGCTTGGACTCAATCGTGTAGGTCTGAGTCTTCAATTGTACTGAGGCTCTACGGTACCTACGCAGCTCAGAGCTGAGGTTCAGGTTCCTAAATCGTGATTCGTCAGCTCACGAGTATTTCACTGCCAACATGCAAGAAGGAAGTTCCTGCATCGCTCCTATAACAGAAGACTGTTTGCCCTCTAACGGTACCTACTGTGGAATCTCTCCTCCCTCTGCACGCAGGCTTTCTGAATGAGGTCCGAAATCTACTGAATCAATATTTCTAAAGTAAGACTCCGAAATCTGTTCACAACAACCCCCACATGCTGGAGAAGAGGCTAGGCAAATCAGGTTCCTGAAAGCCAAGGTAATACCCTTAAATGGGCTATTACAGTAGTAACAATTCCTAACTCCTTCACTTAATTTCAACATTGAATCACAAACTTTTTAATGCTAATGTTTTCTTATCCCAAAGAATAAAGTTGTTAAGTCTATTCTACTGCAGTTTTGAAACACAGTAATAACCAATGTCACCGAACAATGTGAACAGAAATTGAATGGGAATTTAGTCTGCTGTGTAAACTTTCACTGGAAACAGTATTTTTAAAACTGAAAAAGAGAACCACAGTAATAGATGGACTTCTGCTTCTGTTCAAGGCAAGGAGAGTTTGCAGAAAAGAGTACTGAAGAACCAGAGAAAACTGTGAAGGCAGCAGAGGGGTCACCCTCCGGCATTTAGCAGAGGACTCTCAGAGCACGTGTTCCAGGAAATTATCCAAGCCTGGAGGAAGAACACTGAAAAGATCAGAGGAATGCTGTCAGCACTCACTCAGAGCTTAGAGCAGTACCTGCTCCCACAAGGTAAACTGCAAAAGTTTTACTTCATGGAGCAATGGGCAAAGTACTCAAATATTTTGCCTCCATAGTGGGGAATAATTAGATCCAGACGGAGCACTGTTCCGCATGAGGCTAATAAACCATAAAAGTAAGAACTCAAAGTACGGAACCATTTCCAAGTACTTTAACTACATTCCAGACAAATCTCAAGCATATTATAGGAACATAAAAATATCCAGCACCCAACAAGGTAAAGATCACCCAATCAAAGATCACTAGGCATACAAAGAAACAAGAAAACACGATGAGTTTAATAAGGAGAATAATCAATCAATCAAAACTGAACCAGAATTAATATAGAATTAGCAGAGAAGAATGTTAA